TCAAACAACTAGTTATGAATTTTTGTTGTGTCAACACTGTTGTACTGTTGTAGTGCAAAGGTGTAGGAATGTGGGCTATTGATACTCAGGCATTGATGGTGGGTGTTATAGACTCTGTCATCCTGAAAAATAATCAGATTTACCGTGGCGGTATTTGGCAGAAAGGTTTTACAGTTACAGTATTTGAGGAGTTTCTAAGATCTTCCCTAGTTTACACCTTTCTGGTCTGCAACAAAGGCATAATGATGCCTTCTCATCACCGTGCTGGTTCATTCCCACGGCGTGCTGGAGCTAGCTGGTGTCTGCTCCTGAGCATGGACTGGGCGTTTCTTTTCCAACTCCGTGTCCAGTGACCTGCATTTTGGTAGCCCAGATTTTATTTTTATTTATTTATGTATTTTGTTTTGTTTTTGTTTTGGTTCTTTTGGTAGCCTGAATTTTAACATGTTGGGAGTATTTTCACCACAGAAATTGGCAAATGCCACAAACCAGTCACCCTCCAGAGCTGGCTGTTAAACACTGACCAGCATCTACGTTAGTGTTTGCTCCCCACCCCCAATCATTCTCCTAATGGCTTAGTTCCTTGTCTGCTGTTAAAGCAGAGTAGAGGCTGGGAAGTCAGGGAGTTAAACATCTGGATTGGGATAGGGAATCCTCCGTGTAGCCCTGTGATCTTGAACAAGTTATATAGCCTCTCTAATACCCAGTTTCCTACTTTGTAAAATGGGGTTGATATAGACCCCCCTCAGGATTGTGAAGATGAAATGAAATGATGTATGGTAAGTACCTAATGGTGCCTAGTGGGTACATAGCCAATGCTCAGTAAGTGGTATCGATTAGGTTAATTTTTTTTTTTTTTTTTGCCAGTACTGATATTCATTCAATGGCGATTTGCAAAGTGCTTTTGGTTCCACCTGTATGGTTTTATTTATTTATTTATTTATTTATTTATTTATTTATTTATATCTTAGTCCCAAATATTCTGAGCTTCCCTTCACCTGTATGGTTTTTTTTTTAAAAAAATTTATTTATCTATCTATTTATTTTTGAGACAAGGTCTCACTCTGTCTCCCAGGCTGGAGGGCAGTGGCATGATCTCGGCTCACTGCAACCTCTGCCTACTGGGCTCAAGTGATCCTCCCACCTTAGCCTCCTGAGTAGCTGGGACTACAGGTAGGTGCCACCATGCCTGGCTAATTTTTGTATTTATTTATTTTTTTTATTTTTTAATTTTTGAGACGGAGTCTCATTCTGTTGCCTAGGCTGGAGTGCAATGGTGCAATCCCGGCTCACTGCAACCTCCGCCTCCCAGGTTCAAGTGATTCTCCTGCCTCAGCCTCCCGAGTAGGTGGGATTACAGGCATATACCACTATGCCTGGCTAATTTTTATATTTTAGTAGAGATGGTGTTTCACCATGTTGGCCAGGCTGGTCTTGAACTCCTATCCTCAAGTGATCCACCCGCCTCAGCCTCCCAAAGTGCTGGGATTATAGGCATGAGCCACTGTGCCTGGCCAATTTTTTTATTTTTTGTAGAGACAGGTTTTCACCATGTTGCCCAGGCTGGTTTCGAACTCCTGAGCTCAAGTGATCCATCCTCCTTGGCCTCCCAAAATGCTGGGATTACAGGTGTGAGCTACCATGCCTGGCCTCCACCTATATGGTTTTAAATGTACAGATAAGCAAGAATAAAACATGACCCTGGAATTCAAGTTTTCAGATCACATGTTTGATGTCATGTGGACTCCATACCTGGGCTTTGACATAGTCTTAATTTGCCATCAATAGACAGAGTCCCCAAGTCTGGTCTTCTCTTCTGTCAGAGCATCTGGAGCACCTTCATTCCCACCTTCCTGTCTTTGTAAATGTCCTCCTCATTCTTTCATTGCTTTCCCTTTCTCCACAGCAGGCAAACGACCTTCTCAGTGCTTCTCCTCTGTGTTTGCTCCTATGCCTGGCATGTGGCTGTCTGAGGTTCAGAATTATTCTCAGACCTGTGTAACAAGAACTCTAGGATGAGTCACCTGGTACCTGCTTTTTTATACCCTCAGGCCAAGGCAGGGAGGCCTGATTTCCCTGGCAGAGTTAATTGTATGGCAAAAGTGCTGCCCAAGGTTATGAGCTGTCTCTGCTTTTTTCCCCATTACTGGTTCCCATTCCTGTCTCTCTGCCCTTTCAGCATTGTGCTCAGAAGGGTATCCTCCACCTCAACATTCCTTTAGTGTGAAAAATGGTTATGGTAGGAAAACTGGTGATGCTAAATTCTAAACCCTTCAGGTTCTTTTTTTTTTGAGATGGGTCTTGTTCTGTCACCCAGGCTTGAGTGCAATGCCATGATCTTGGCTCACTGCAAACTCTACCTCCCGGGTTCAAGCAATTCTCCTGCCTCAGTCTCCTGAGTAGCTTGGATTACAGGGACCCTGTACCATGCCCACCTAATGTTTGTATTTTTAGTAGAGACAGGGTTTCACCATGTTGGCCAGGCTGGTCTCGAACTCCTGAGTCGAAGTGATCTTCCTGCCTCAGCCTCCCAAAGTCCTGAAATTATAGACGTGATCCACTGTACCAGGCCTAAATCCTAAACTCTTCAGGTTCTTGCAAGTACCAGTGACACTGAAATTGAATTAATTTGGAATAAAGGCATTTGTTGTAAGAGAGGCTTTTTTTTTTTTTTTTTTTTTTTTGAGAAGGAATCTCACTGTCACCCAGGGCTAGAGTGCAGTGGCGCGATCTTGGCTCACTGAAACCTCCGCCCTCTGAGTTTAAGTGATTCTTCTGCCTCAGCCTCCCGAGTAGCTGGGATTACAGGCATCAGCCACTGTGTCCGGCTAATTTTTTGTATGTTTAGTAGAGACAGGGTTTCACCATGTTGGCCAGGCTGGTCTTGAACTCCTGACCTCGTGATCCACCCGCCTCAGCCTCCCATAGTGCTGGGATTACAGGTGTGAGCCACCCTGCCCAGCCATAAGGGAGGCTATTAACTTCTTTTTCTTTTTTTTGAGACAGAATCTTGCTCTGTTGCCCAGGCTGGAGTGCAATGGCACAGTCTTGGCTCACTGCAACCTCTGCCTCCTGGGTTCAAGTGATTCTCCTGCCTCAGCCTCCTAAGTAGCTGGGATTACAGGCACCTGCCACCATGCTCAACTAATTTTTGTATTTTTTAGTAGAGACGGGGTTTCACCATGTTGGTCAGGCTGGTCTCGAACTCCTGACCACAGGTGACCCACCCGCCTCGACCTCCCAAAGTGCTGGGATTACACGCGTGAGCCACTATGCCCAGCCCTATTAACTTCTTTATACTCCAGTTTAAATGTGAAGTGTTAGCAAAGCTTAAAAAGTTCCTGCTTTCTACACGCACAGGCTCCTTGTGGAATTCTTCAAACACTTACAAGTGCATCACTTTCAATGTGATCAGTTTTTCAATACTTAGATTTCAGAGCTGTTTACAAATGTAGAAACACTCGAAATAAGTACAAGTTGTTTCATGTTGGGAGCTCTTTTGCCATCAGTTTTAAAGTGAGCAGCCTGAAAATGAAAAAAATTAAAGCTTGGCACTAATAGAAAATAGAACATGTTGGCCGGACATGGTGGCTGGCACCTGCAATCCCAGCACTTTGGGAGGTTGAGGCGAGAGGATTGCTTGAGCTCAGGATTTCAAAACCAGCCTGGGGAACATAGCAAAACCCTGTCTGTAAAAAATAAAAAAAAGAACATGTCAAACAGTATTTTCCAACTCATTTAATTAATTGAAAGACTGTACCTGAAAAATGTTTTACAGAAACCCTTTTATGTTAAAATAATTTACCACAATTAATATACCCTAGATACCCTATTATTTCCATAAAATATTCCTAGGGATCAATAATATTGTTCAGTTTTTTGTTATTGTTGTTGTGGGGGTTTTTTTGTTTTTGTTTTTGTTTTTGCTTTTGTTTTTGTTTTTGTTTTGAGACAGAGTTTCGCTCTTGTTGCCCAGGCTGGAGTGCAATGGTATGATCTCGGCTCACTGCAACCTCTGCCTCCTGGGTTCAAGTGATTCTCCTGCCTCAGCCTCCTGAGTAGCTGGGATTACAGGCATGTGCCAGCATGGCCGGCTAATTTTGTATTTTTAGTAGAGACTGGCTTCTCCGTGTTGGTCAGGCTGGTCTCAAACTTCTGACCTCAGGTGATCTGCCCGCCCTGGACTCCCAAAGTCCTGGGATTACAGGCATGAGCCACTGTGCCCGGCCTCAGCTTTTTATCATAATATTTTCAGCAGATAACAAAATCTCAGTTATTAGAAAATAAAGTGATGTGTTTAAGTGTATTTAACATGCCAATATTAGAATTTTCAAACATGATTTTATTTTTATTTTATTTTATTTTTTTGAGACCAAGTCTCGCTCTGTTGCCCAGGCTGGAATGCAGTGGCGTGATCTCGGCTCGCTGTAACCTCTGCCTCCCTGGTTCAAGAGATTTTCCTTCCTCAGCCTCCCGAGTAGTTGGGACAACAGGCACCTGCCACCACACTGGGCTAAGTTTTGTACTTTTAGCAGAGACGGGGGTTTTACCATGTTGGCCAGGCTGGTCTTGAACTCCTGACCTCAGGTGATCCTCCCACCTCCACCTCCCAAAGTGCTGGGATTACAGGTGTGAGCCACTGCGCCTGGCCTCAAACATTATTTTAGATCATTTTTTTTTTTCAAAGTAGTCACAATTCTTCACTGAGAATGAACATATGCCAAGGTTAGTGGGTTTGATCATTTGAAAAATGGCAACACCATTCATTTTAAACATTTCCTGACTTTTTACTATGGAACCTCTCATGGTATAAAAATGCCTTTTAGATTTTTCAGAGCCAAAATTAAAATACTTTAGAAAAAAATCAGGCCAAATCTTTGGAATTCAAAGTGACTGAACACCTAAAAGAAACACAATATAAAACTTGCCAATTACATGTCTTCCCAGAGGTCTGGACTGAATTTCTTTCGAATAATTTGGACATTTCTTCCCTTTGCCAGTGACACAGGAACAACACCTCCAGAGAGTGGTATCTTTGGATTTATGATAAACTTCTCTGCATTTCTTGGTAAGTACACAATAATTAGTACAAATAATTGAAAAACGCACAATTCCAAGTGAAGTCAGATGTGTCCTTTTTAGTTTGTGTATAATTTTTATTTTATTTAGTTTTTCTGAGACAAGGCTGGAGTGCAGTGGTGTGATCACGGCTGGCTGCAGCCTCAACCTCCCAGGCTCAAGCAATCCTCCCACCTCAGCCTCCGGAGTAGCTGGTACGACAGGCACACACCACCACGCCCAGCTAATTTTTTGTATTTTTTTTGTAGAGATGGGGTTTCACCATGTTGCCAGGCTGGCCTCAAACTCCTGGGCTTCAGTGATCCACCTGCCTTGGCCTCTCAAAGTGCTGAACTTACAGGTGTGAGCCACTACACAGGGCCTTGTGTATAATTTTTTTAAAAGCACAACCTTTGCAGCTAGATTTTTGTCCTACGTTGAGAAACTGAAGTGAAAAGATATAAAAAATTATGGCTTTATTAGAGAACGATACTTTAATGAGTAATTTGTAACAGGATTTGCTGTAGGTGGTTTTAAATACCAAACTTCTGGAATGGATTTTAAGTGCAATTTGGTTTTTAAAAGTGTCGATTTATAGTCAAGACATTTATGTAAGCCAAAGACACCCAATGTGTAAGCTAAGTTTCTCAAAGTGTATTCTGAAGGCAAGCTGATGGAAAATCACTTGGAGCTCTGGTAAAGTGCAGGTTCCTGGGCCACGCTACTCAACCAGAACCTTTGGGAGTGTGGGTTCCTGAAGATGTGTTGTAAACAAGCACTCTAGGGGACTTGGATTCTCACTAAAGTTTGTGGACCATTGACAAAGGCATTATCTTACCTGTTAGAGAAAGGGAACAGGTGGAGTAAGAATTAGTATGATTTTTCTTTTCAATTCCTCAGATGTACCCGAGATGCAGTTGATAGGGTACAACCTTGTCATGAACCAATTAATGTAATGCACATTAATTACAACTATTGTACAATAAAGCTCAGTCTTCTATAAGGTGATCCAAGTATACAGATATTAGATGTGGGGCTTTTTCTCTTAGTCCTTCTATAATCTCCCCCCATGGAAAAATCAAGTGTTTGCCAAGGGCCTATCTTTTAACCAGTGCTTTCTGTTCTTCTTTACTGGTACAGTGTGGGAAGGGACAGTGATGCTGACCCTACTTAGTGACTTGGCATTTTTGGAATCTGTTCATCCTACTTGGTAGCGGGAAAGTTTCACTGCATCACCATTTGTAGTCCTCCTAAAGTTTTGGAGGTGAGCAAGGGGAAGTAGCAATATGGAGTCAATCAATCCCAGTGCCCTCTTACACCATCCTTGCCAAGAAACCAGACTTGGAAAACAGAGAGATTATTTTATCACAGCAAGTGATAAATACAGCTTTTGCTTCTGAATAAAGCAGAAGCTGACATAAGTATATTCATTTAAAATAGTCTATGTGAGCTCATGCCTGTAATTTTAGCACTTTGGGAGGCTGAAGCAGGACGACCTGTTGAGCCCAATAGTTCAAGACCAGCCTGGGCAATGTAGTGAGATCTTGTCTCTACAAAAAGTTAAAACAAAAAAAAAAAAAAGAAAGAAAAAAGAAATTAGCTGGGTGTGGTGATGTGTGCCTGTAGTTCCAGTTACTTGGGAGGATAAAGTGGGAGAATTGCCTGAGCCCAGGAGGTCAAGGCAGCAGTGAGCCATGACTGTGCCACTGCACTCCCACCCAGCACCCAGGTAACAGAGCAAGTCCCTGTCTCCAAACAAACAGACAAAAAATTATAACAAGTTATTAGTTTTTAGCCTGCTTTTTAAAAATTCAGGAGTAGATACATTATGGCCATCATACTATGTAAATATATACACAATTACTTTATCCTTTCCACACATGCATGATATCCTTTGCAAGGATGTATTATCATTTATTTAATCAGTTCCCTATTGTCCAACATTTAGGCTATTTCTGGTATTTTGTAATTCTAATGTTGAAGTGAACATCTTTTAAATGTATCTTTGCATATTTGTGTGAATTTTTCTATAAGATACATTTGCTGAGTTAAAGGGAATACAAATCTAAAATTACGATAGCTTATTCAACATTTACTAAGTACATACTATATGATAGGGTTTGTGCTTGTTTATGGCTTAGTGTTGAGGTTACAACAGCAAACAAAATGGACAAGGCCCCTGCTCTCATGGAGGCTACATTTTATTGCCAAATTACAACAAATGGTATTTGGTTAATTTACTAGCTATTTGGAAAAACATACCTTTACCATCCTCCTCACATCATACACAAAAACCAATTGCAATTTAATAAACAAGCAAAACTATGCAATAATTAAATTACAGGAGAATATTTTTTAAATCTTGGAATAGAAACTTACACAAAACCTAGAAGAATTGACAGATAGGAGTAGATTAAAAATTAAAACTTCTAAATGATGAAAGATACAAGAAACAATGTTAAAAGACAAATAGCAGAGCAGAAGAAAATTTGCAATATTTATAGCAGATAATAGACTAATGGACATAATGTGTAAAAAGTAACTACAAATTAGAAATCGACAAGCACAAGAGAAGAATAAAAAGAAAATTGTAAACATGCATTTCTCAGAAGAAGAAATGCAAATGACCAGTAGATATACTGAAAGTTGCTAAATCTCACTAATGATCAGAGAAATGCAAACTAACCCAATTAAGTTGCATTTTCATTTATTAGATTGATAGTAATTAAAAAGGCAAAGGCATAAAAATTTGCTCGCAAATTCTGCTGGTGGGAGTCTGAATCGTTAACGGGCTGGAGCAATTTGGCGGTGTTTCTATTGTGTGTAGTTTTTTAACCCAGTAATATTACTTCTAGGAACCGGTCTTTCAGAAACACCTGAAAGTGTGTCCAAAGATTTATATACAAGAATAGTCATTGCGTGTTGTTTGTAGCAGGAAGAACATGGAAACAATGTAAAAATTCATTCTTAGGAGAATGAGGAATAAATATAGTATCTCATACCATAGACCATGATGAGACCCCTGAAAACAATGAAGTAGATCTGTTTGTACTTGCATGAAAAGATCTCCACGGTACATTGTTAAGTGGAAAAAGCAAGTCACAGAGTAACACATGTACTATAATAGCATTTACATGAAAAGGACAACAGCTAAGATGTGTGTGTGTGTGTGTGTGTGTGTGTGTGTGTGTGTGTGTCTGTTCATGATGTGGAGAGAGTAAGATGGAGTCAGGAGGGACAGGGGTGGGAAAGTGGGGAGACTTGCAATCGGTGCATTTTGTGAAACAAAGCCTCTTCTGTTTTTCATCCTAAAGAAATCAAATTATGAACATTCATCAAAGTTCTCTTCTTTTTCAGGTGCAGCCACGATGTATACAAGATATAAAATAGTAGAGAAGCAAAATCAAACCTGCTATTTCAGCACTCCTGTTTTTAACTTGGTGTCTTTAGTCCTTGGATTGGTGGGATGTTTCGGAATGGGCATTGTCGCCAATTTTCAGGTATAACCTGGAGCTTTTTCAGTTAGGAGGACTGGTGGAGCGCATGTGTCTGAGGAGAGTAGCAGAAATGCAAGAGGCACACTTATGCCATTATAGCTATTAAATGCTTGATGAGTTTACAATAAGTGGGTTAGTTTGCTTTTTAAAAACAAACCTTTAACATTTGGAAGTCAGGGCCAAGCGTGGTGACTCACACCTGTAATCCCAGCACTTTGGGAAGCCGAGTTTGATAATGAGGTCAGGGATTCAAGACGAGCCTGACCAACATGGTGAAACCCCATTTCTACTAAAAATACAAAATTAGCCAGGTGTGGTGGTGCATGCCTGTAATCCCAGCTACTCAGGTGGCTGAGGCAGGAGAATCATTTGAACCTGGGAGGTGGAGGTTGCAGTGAGCCGAGATCGTGCCACTGCACTCGACAGAGCAAGACTCCATATCAAAAAAAAAAAAAAAAAAAAAAAAGCATTTGAAAGTGAGTTCTGGTACTTGGGAGAAATGGGGTGCACATTTGCATATTTATGAGAGTGCGTGATTCAGAGGAGGCCTTGGGCTTTGCATTGCTCCATGTTCTCATTGATGTGGTTTGATGTGTTGGGAGAGCTACTTCAGCTACTGTGATGATTTTATTAACAGTGTGAAAATATTTGTATGTGTTTACCAATTCTACCGTTTAAACCTCTGGTATTCAACGAGGAGGCTCTCGGTGACATTTCCTTATATTTTTATGACAGTATGCATTTTGTTTTTCATAACAACAAACATTTATTGAAATTTTCCCGTGACACATGTTTATGAAAATATTCCATATTTTAACTCAGACAATTATAATAAAAGCCTTGTAAGATAGGCACTATTTTTTTTTTTTTTTTGAGACGGAGTCTCGCTCTGTCGCCCAGGCTGGAGTGCAGTGGCCGGATCTCAGCTCACTGCAAGCTCCGCCTCCTGGGTTCACGCCATTCTCCTGCCTCAGCCTCCCGAGTAGCTGGGACTACAGGCGCCCGCCACCTCGCCCGGCTAGTTTTTTGTATTTTTTAGTAGAGACGGGGTTTCACCGTGTTAGCCAGGATAGTCTCGATCTCCTGACCTCGTGATCCACCCGTCTCGGCCTCCCAAAGTGCTGGGATTACAGGCTTGAGCCACCGCGCCTGGCAGATAGGCACTATTATTTTCCCCATTTATCAATGGTAAAATGGAGGCCTAGAGAGGTTAATACTTTCCCAAGATTAGATGAATAATGCGTGGCAGAGGTGGGCTTTGAATTGAAGTCACCTTCCTAGAGCCCGTGAGAGCTGTCCTTAATGCCAACATGAAGAAATACCTGTGACAAAAAAAAGCAAGTACACGATACATAGTTCTACCATCAGGAAGCACACACACACAAAAACTATAAAAAGGAAGACCTAGCATTATATCATTTGTCTAGTACAGTGTGGTTATGGTTTAATGGGGGCTAGTATAGATCTATCACTTTATCCTCTGAGTAACCACATCATAAGAGATACAGATGTCAGTTTTTAAAACGTGTAAGGGCTGACTTTAAGAAGAAAACTTAAGTGGTTAAATAATTTCAACTTTTGGTTCTCCTTAAGTCTTCAATGATGTGATTAAATCTTCACAAAAACCAGAAATAGAATCTTAACTTCCCAAGGAGCGAAGTGTTTGACTTGTCATTGTTCCGATAACTGTATCTTTACAACTTCCTTGTTTGGTATCCCGTAATTCATTTTCGTCATGCCAGGAGCAAACCAACTTGAGCCAACTCAGGAAGATTTTGAGATGTGAGGGCAAGAGAAAGTGTGACTTTTTTTTTTTTTTTTTTGGTAGAGACAGAGTCTCGCTCTGTCGCCCAGGCTAGAGTGTAGTGGTGCGATCTTGGTCCACTGCAACGTCCGCCCTGGGTTCAAGTGATTCTCATGCCTCAGCCTACCGAGTAGCTGGGATTACAGGCACCCACCACCATGTCCAGCTAATTTTTGTAATTTTAGTAGAGATGGGGTTTCACCATGTTGGCCAGGCTGGTCTTGAACTCCTGGCCTCAAGTGATCTGCCTGCCTTAGCCTCCCAAAGTGTTGGGGTTACAGGCGTGAGCCACCGCACCCAGCCATGATGATTTTTCTTGAGTTGCAGTAAATCACATTTTTGAGAATTTCACAGATAATCTTTTTCCCAAATGGGTGGGTGAGATGGCTACTTTTTGGTGTGTCCTCACTAACTTCTGTCAATACTTTATTTTCCCTCAGAAAGTTTTCTTTTTGAAATTCTGTCATTTGTGGCAACGTGGATGAACCTGGAGAACCTTATGCTAAGTGAAATAAGCCAGTCACAGAGGGACAAATACCGAATGCTGTCACTTATATGTGGAATCTAAGAAAATCAGACTTACAGAAGGAGAGAGTAGAATGGTGTTACAGGAGTGAAGAGGAAGACGAGGAGTGGGGAGGTATTGGTCCAAGGGTACCAAGTTTCAGTTAGACTGAATTAATAATTCTGGAGATCTATTACTGCACAGCATGGTGACTATAGTTAATAATAATGTATATTTCAAAATTGCTAAAACAGTAGATTTTTAAATGTTCTCATCACACAAAAAAGAATAAGTATGTGAGGTGATTGATATATTAATTACCTTGATTTAATCATTCCACAGTGTAAGCATACATCAAAACATCTACAGCCAGTTGTGGTGGCTCATGCCTGTAATCCCAGCACTTAGGGAAGCCGAGGCAGGAGGATTGCTTTAGCCCGGGAGTTTGAGACTAGTCTGGGCAACATAGGGCAACAAAGGGATACCATGCCTCTGGAATCACACACACACACACCCCTACAAGCCTCATAAATATGAACAATTATTATTTTTTGAGATGGAGTCTCGCTCTGTCGCCCAGGCTGGAGTGCAGCGGCGCGATCTTGGCTCACTGCAGCCTCCGCCTCCCAAGTTCAAGCAAATATCCCTGCTTCAGCCTCCCACGTAGCTGGTATTACAGGCACCTGGCACCACACTCAGCTAATTTTTGTATTTTTTAGTAGAGATGGTGTTTCGCCATGTTGGCCGGGCATGTCTTGAGCTCCTGACCTCAGGTGATCCGCCCACCTCGGCCTCCCAAAGTGCTGAGAGGTGTGAGCCATTGCGCCCGGCCTATAAACAATTATTATTTGTCAATTAAAAATAAAAATTTTTAAAGTTTCCTTTTTAGAAAAGAAACTTTCCAAGGTTTAACCCTGTCAGTATTCACATAGTCTTTTTTTTTGTTGTTATTACCTTTTAAATTACCAAGAGAGTTTCTGAAAAGCAATCCAAAAAGAGTGCCGGGTTTTAACTTTATGGAAAATTCATGTCTGATCTAAAAATCATTTCTCTGATTTTTTGATTGATTGATTGATTGATTGAGAAAGGGTCTTGCTCTGTCACCTAAGCTGTAGTGCAATAGCACAATCATAACCTTGAACGCTTAGAATAAACCTTGAACTCCTCCTGTCTCAGTCTCTTGAGTAACTGAGACTATGGGTGCGTCACCATGCCCAGCTAATTTTTATTTTTACTTTGGTAGAGATGGGGTCTTGCTATGTTTCTGAGGCTGTTCTTAAACTCCTGGCCTCATATGATCTTCCCATCTCTGCCTCCCAAAGTGTTGGGATTACAAGCACAAGCCACCTTACTCTGTTGTATTTTATTTTTCACATATAACTTCCCTGAATCTATATGCCCATGCTAGGAATCTTATTTATTTGTATTTGTATTTTTATATTTATTTTTTTAGACAGGGTCTTGATCTGTTGCTCAGGCTGGAGTACAGTGGTGTGATCACAGCTCTCTGCAATCTCCGCCTTGTGAGCTCAAGCAATCCTCCCACCTCAGCCTTCTGAGTAGCTAAAACTACAGGTTCATGCCATCACACCCAGCTAATTTTCATAGTTTTTGTAGATTGTGACTGCCTCTTTTTTTCTTTTTTTTCCACTTTTTTTCTTGTGTTTCACCACATTGCCCAGGTTGATCTTGAACTCCTGAGCTCAGTGATACACCTGCCTTGGCCCTCCGAAGTGATGAGATTACAGACATAAGTCACTGTGCCCAGTCTTTTATTTATTTTTATATTATGTTTTGAGACAAGGTCTCACTTTGTTGCCCAGGCTAGAGTGCAGTGATGCTATCATAGCCCATTTCACCCTTGGTCTCCCAAGCTCAAGTGATTCTCCCACCTCAGCCTCCCAAGTAGCTGGGACTACAGGCACGCACCATCATGCCCGTCTGATTTTATTTATTTATTTATTTATTTATTTAGAGACGGAGTCTCACACTGTCGCCCAGACTGGAGTTCAGTGATGCAATCTTGGCTCGCTGCAGTCTCCATCTCCTGGGGTCCAGTAATTCTCCTGCCTCAGTCTCCCTGGTAGCTGGGATTACAGGCATGCGCCAGCACGCCTGGCTAAATTTTTGTATTTTTAGTAGAGACAGAGTTTCACCATGTTGACCAGGCTGGTCTCAAAGTCCTGAACTTGTAATCCACCTGCCTCAGCCTCCCAAAGTGCTGGGATTACAGGTGTGAGCCATCATGCCTAGCCATGATTTTTTTATTTTAGTGGAGATGAATACTTGCTATGTTGCCCAGGCTGGTCTCACACTCCTGAGCTCAAGCAATCCTCCTTCCTTGGCTTCCCAAAGTGTTGGGATTATAGGCGTGAGCCATAGTACCTGGCCCATGCAAGGTATCTTAGGTATACAGAAACTATATGATGTGTAGAAGAGTCAGTGCAGTCATATTTGAATATAACACAAATCACGTAATGAATTTCTCCCCTTATTTCTAGGTTTGATACTAGGAAATATATTTCCTTAGAAATAAGTTAAAATGTCTGTTTTTTTTTTCCTGCACCTCCCTTTCTTATGTGGAGAATGCAAATTTAATATCAGTTCATTTGTGCTCCAGCTTGAGGTTGAACTGTCTGGATGGCAAACATTGTGGTGCTGGGGAAGCCCAGGTGGCCTAGGTCAGAGGGAAGCTGGGGGAAGAGTATGTTCACTGTGACCTGAGGCCAAGGGGTGGCTTGTGGCCAAAATCAGGCTCTCCTGGACAACACTTTAAGTTGCCCTTTGCAAAGCTTGCATTTTCAAGTTTAAGCCGAGACCCGGTGGTTCCCTCTAAATGTTCCTCGCCTGGAAGGTTGGTGCCCAGTGCACATTTGAAAGGAGCCAAGGCCGGATGTGGTGGCTCATGCCTACAATCCCAGCACTTTGGAAGGCTGAGGTGGGTGGATCACCTGAGGTCAGAAGTTTGAGACCAGCCTGGCCAACATGGAGAAACCTCGTCTCTACCGAAAACAGAACAATTAGCTCAGCGTGGTAGTGCACGCCTGTAATCCCAACTACTTGGGAGGCTGGGGCACGAGAATCGCTTGAACCCGGGAGGTGGAGGCTGCAATGAGCTGAGATCTTGCCACTGCACTCTAGCCTGGCTGACAGAGAAAGACTCTGTCTCAAAAAAAAAAAAAAAAAAAAAGAGAAAGGAGCTGAAGGTGAGGCGCATTCTGAGTGTGTACAGGGTCTGCAGCGACTTTCTGCCTAGACTGGCATAGGGGCTGCCTTCTGGTTGAAATGGCTGGTTACAGGATGGTGGGGACACGAAACTTGTTTAGAAGCTGCCTTTGAAAAAAAAATTAGCTGGAACTGGGCGTGGTGGCATGTGCCTGTAGTCCCAGCTACTTTCGAGGCTGAGGTGGGAGTATCCCTTGAGCTCAGGAATTCACAGATGCAGTGAGCTATGATCAGGCCACTGCACTCCCGCCTAGGCAACAGAGTGAGACCCTGTCTCAACAGAAAAAGAAAAAAAAGAAGAAGAAAAAGAAGCTGCCTCTGGGTAACAAAAGCAGCGGTTTTACTCAGATGGTGTGTTCATTTGAGGTGCCTTGGGAGGGATGAGTAGAGATTATCAGGGAGCAGGGAGCCTAAAAACCCCAAACCACCCTTGGCACCATCATGGAACGAGTCATATATTTTTCCTTTTTTCAATCATATCATACCAAAGTTTACTGATTACATCAAACAAACATCTCTGTAACGAAAAAGGCAGAGCTGAGTGCGGTGGCTCACGCCTGTAATCCCAGCACTTTGGGAGGCCGAGGTGGGCGGATCATGAGGTCAGGAGTTTGAGACCAGCCTGGCCAATGTGGCAAAACCCCATCTCTACCAAAAATACAAAAATTAGCTGGGCGTGGTGGCATGTGCCTGTAATCCCAGCTACTTGGGAGGCTGAGGCAGGAGAATCGCTTGAACCTGGGCGGCAGAGGTTGCAGTGAGCCGAGTTTGTGTCACTGCACTCCAGCCTGGGCATCTAGAGTGAAACTCTGTCTCAAAAACAAAACAAAACAAAACAAAAAACAACAACAACCAAAGAAAATTGTATCTGATATGTATCCTATAATCTTCACTGCAAACACGCAAGACGGAGATGATTATGCCCGTTTTTAGATACGGAAATCGAGGCTTTGCAGTAACGTCACAGAGCCTCATGGTGGAGTCAGGACTTTTAATGCAGTTGTACCAGACTCCGAAGCCCACCATATTCAACCCTCCCACCTCTAAGGCAGACCTTTCCTTGTCCCATGAGCCCAGGTTCGCTGTGGAACAACCAACTTTTTGGCATTAATTTCAGGACCTGGAAGGCTTTTCTTTTGGTAGTCAGACAGCCACATTTTCCAAGGAGTGGTGCATCTGTGATGACCAACGGCTCAAAGCAGCCCAGAGTGAGAGTGCTCGCGGCTCAATGTTGACAAACCCACCCAGAGTAACGCACATTTGTGACTTTTTCTCCAGGAGTTAGCTGTGCCAGTGGTTCATGATGGGGGCGCCCTTTTGGCCTTTGTCTGTGGTGTCGTGTACACGCTCCTACAGTCCATCATCTCTTACAAATCGTGTCCCCAGTGGAACAGTCTCTCGACATGCCACATACGGATGGCCATCTCTGCCGTTTCTTGCGCAGCTGTCGTCCCCAGTATCCTTTTTCACATTTGTGCCTTGTTAAAGGAATAAAACATTCAATGACACTTGTTAAAGAAGGGTAATGAAGACTTTGTAGGGACCACTGCAATGGGGTCTGACAGCGGGGTAAAGAGATGGGGCTCGACTCTGAATACATCCTTGGCAAGTGCGAATTTATAGCCAAGGAGTAGGATGAGGTCAGTGGATGGAAAAGTACTAAAAGGAAACCTCCAGGATGAGGGGGATTCTGGCTAAACCAACCTAACAGGATTCTTGTTGAGTACTGGCCATGTGATCAGACATCACCTGAGAAGGGTGGTGGAGGAGGAACCCAATCAGATATTGAGTGTGATCAGATATCAGGGTGGGGGTTCCTTGCTAAACTGACTTAGCCAGGGGTTCTTTGCTGAAACTGGATCTTACAAGGAAGTGCACAGATGGACCTAGGAGAAGTTTCAGGAGCTTGACTAAAGTTCGGCAAAGCAAAGGATCTTTGTCACAGTTTCTTAGCAAAGTTTGACACTTCCCTTCCCCACAACCAAAAAAAAAAAAAAAAAAGCAAAGGATAACAACCAAGTTTCCACATTTTTCAGAAAAACAATTGGGATAAAAGTATAGATCAAGCTAGGTGCGGTGGCTCACGCCTGTAATCTCAGCACTTTGGAAGGCTGAGGTGGGTGGATCACCTGAGGTTGACAGTTCAAGACCAGCCTGACCAACATGGAGAAACCATGTTTCTACTAAAAAAACAAAATTAGCCAGGTATGGTGGCGCATGCCTGTAATCCCAGCTACTTGGGAGGCAGAGGCAGGAGAATCGCTTGAACCTGGGAGGTGGAGGTTGAGGTGAGCCGAGATCACGCCATTGCACTCCAGCCTGGGCAACAGGAGTGAAACTCCGTCTCAAAAAAAAAAAAAAAAAAAAAGTGCAGCTCATTAAGAAAATGTCTCAGCATTGTCTAGTTAGATCAAAAGTCTCTTTGGGGGGAAGAATGGTGTGAAAGAAGGGTGGAAAATGTAGGAACACTTCAGTTTCTGTTTACTTTCCTTCTCACAGGGCCAGTTTCATGAGCCATATGAAAATATTTATTTTTCTTTGTAGTGCTTGGCTAAAGACACCAAATATTGATATTGTACTCAAAGTAATAGCCCCACGAAGTCCCTCAAGGCTAAACTCTCCCCCTCCCTGCACGTAGGTGGCAAGACAGTTTGGTTTAGTCATTCATGTGAAGAGATTTTTAAAAGCCTCTAGATCACTTATTACTGAGTAAATTAAAATGTTTAGCCTTTTCTTTTTATAGTCACTAATTTCATTTTCAAAATGAAATCCATTTTATTTTCTAACTCAGCAATCTGAAAGGAAATGAAGATATAAATTTAGCATGCTTGTAGATTCTGATTTAGAGGAAATGAAAGCTTTTTCTTTCTTTCCCTTTTTCTTTTCTTTAATGAAGTACTTAACAAAGAAAAAAAGCCATGGTCTTAAAGAGTTGCAGAATTCCCCATCTTTCAAAATACCATCTGTAGTCGTATCAGAACAAGCTTCAGGGTCATTAAACAATGATGACTAATGTCAGATTGTAGGAAAATCGGAAATATGTTATGGGCGACAATTTTGTTAGTCTGGGTTGAGTTACGGTATAAAGTGGGCAAGATGGAGTGAAAACACGTCACTTGCTTCTAAATATTAAGCTTTGTGTTTCTTTTCTAAAATAGAAACTACAAAATGTGAAGTCTAAGCATGATTTTGGGTTTTTCCATCTTAGGGAAGGACATTTTTAATTACAAAATTTCTAAACACAGAGTAGCCAAATCCTAGTACCAAGAGATTTACCAACAAAATATATACCCTGTTCCTAAGATAGTTGCTTCTCAAATTCCTTGTCTTACTTGTAGATTAAAGGAACACTGTCTCTTTGAATATATCTCCTTCAACTTTTTAATCTTGTGTTAGTTGTAAAATTCATAATAGTAGTTGTAGTGTTACAAGCAAAGTTTCTTGATGCAGGAAAACTTCCATTGCTTCCAACTTTGGAAACAGATCTCTAGATATCAAAGTCAGAGAGTTTTAGCGAAATAAGCATTTCAGGCCTCAGAGTTTCACTTACTAATAATTCTCATTTCTAGGAAGTTCTTTTTTTTTTTTTTTTTTTTTTTTTTGAGACAGAGTCTCGCTCTCTCATCTAGGCTGGAGTGCAGTGGTGCGATCTCGGCTCACTGCAACCTCCACCTCCCGGGTTCAAGCTATTCTCCTGCCTTAGCCTCCCTAGTAGCTGGGATTACAGGTGCCTCCCACCACACCCAGCTACTTTTCATATTTTTGGTAGAGACGGAGTTTCACCATGTTGGCCAGGCTGGTCTCAAACTGCTGAGCTCAGATAATCTACTGGCCCCAGCCTCCCAAAGTACTGGGATTACAGGCATGAGCCACCGCGCCTGGCCTCTAGGAAGTTCTTATTATGGGTCATGCCAACAGGAAGCAGCCCCACACAGAAAGGGGTTATGACCCTATTTCAGATTAACTTGAATGAATTCATCCATATGAAAAGATCTTCTGTCTTAAACATTAGCATGGTATTTATATTTCCTTACAAAGAATTTACAGCATCTTTAAATAGACTGGGTGCGGTGGCTAGGTCAGGAGTTCGAGACCAACCTGGCCAACATGGTGAAACCTCATCTCTACTAAAGATAGAAAAATTAGCCAGGCATGGTGGCGTGTGCCTGTAGTCCCAGCTACTTGGGAGGCTGAGGAAGGAGAATTGCTTGAACTGGGAGTGGGAGGTTACAGTGAGCCAAGATTGCACCACTGCACTCCAGTCCAGGTGACAGAGTGAGACTTCGTCTCCAAAAAAAAAAAAAAGAAAAAAGAAACTGGAATTGAAAGCATCTTTAAAATGTCCTGGTTTCTTCTTACTGCAATATTTCTGTGTAATAGCCTCATTTGACTACCGAAGAAACCGAGGCACCTAGTGAGGCGACATTAGAATCCTGCTTCTAAACCTTTCCTGATGAATTATCTGTCTTGCGCCTGACTTCTAAAGCTTCTGAAAGCCTTTACAGAAGTCACCAACAGCATAAAGTCCAGGTTCCTCTGCATGAGACCCATGATCTGAGACCTCCTATTTCTTCATCCTTGTTTTTACGGCTTTTCCCTCAGGCTTGGCTGTTTCTTGTCCTCTGTTCTTACCCAGTCTCTACTTGGCTGGATTATCCTCCTCCACTTTGTCTTGCTAGAGCTGTTGGTTCAACATGGTACCCACAAGTGGCTTTTGCATACTTGAAATGTGGCTAATCCTGATTGAGATGTATTGCTCATGAGGATAGGAGCCTTAGCCCCTGGCATTATTAGGCTGGACTGTAGGCGTGTGTCAGTCATCCCTGAGGTCTGATATGGGGCGAATCTCTTTGATTTGCCAGATCTTTGGGCCAGGAAGGAAGGGCTCACCTTATACCCAATTACCCAACAGAAGTCTGTTTTTGAAAGCTAATAGTTTGAATTTCTGTAGCTTATTTTTGTATATGAGCCTTGGCACTTTGGAATTTAAAATTTTCCTTAAAGCTGTTACCTTGGAAATAGTATTTTAGGCCAGGCACAGTGGCTCACGCCTGTAATCCCAGCACTTTGGGAGGCCGAGGCGGGCGGATCACATGAGGTCAGGAGTTCAAGACCAGCCCAACCAACATGGCGAAACACCGTCTCTAATAAAAATACAAAAAAATTAGCCAGGCATGGTGGTGGGCGCCTGTAATCCTAACTATTCAGGAGGCTGAGGCAGGAGAACGCTTGAACCCAGGAGGCGGAGTTTGCAGTGAGCCGAGATCACGCCATTGCACTCCAGCCTGGGTGACAGAGTGAGATTCTATCTCAAAAAAAAAAAAAAAAAAAAAAAGGAAAATAGTATTTTAGGGAAAAAGTATTTTTATTCAGTGGGAAGTACTAAAAAAGAACCATCTTGGACTGCTGCGTCAGTCATTTTGACCAAATTTAAACAGCTAGTTTAAGTGGGAAGATCCAGAAACATGCAGGGTTGTGCAAAATGTAGCCTCAAATTTTAATAAATTTTACTATACACACTGGAAGACTATTGTGAAGGTATTTCCATGTTGTGATTTAACTTTCATCATTGAATTTAAAGTTTGAGTTTATAAGAAGCTAATATAACTGGTTTGATGGTAGAAATGTTGGTATTAACATTTTAATTGATGATAGAAATGTTGGTATTAACATTCTAACACTGTGTAATGATTATATTATTGGGAGAATAATCTAGTCTTAACATTAAAGGAACTGTTGTGTGCTGTAGTTTCCTTAACTGTTTTCCCTTTTCAGTGATTGTCTGTGCTTCACTAATTTCCATAACCAAGCTGGAGTGGAATCCAAGAGAAAAGGTAACATTTAAGTTGTCGTGAATGTGGCTGTTGGACGTGGTTGTGTGAGGTTGTGGCCAGGCTAGGTCTAGGGAAGATCACTGCCATTTTTTAGAACAAGTTGCAAAATGTGAAGTAAACATGGTGTGTAATCAATTTACTGTCCAATCACTTGGCAGTGTATAGTAATTAACTATCAGGGTAATTCCAAATGCTTTCTGGAATTATATTCAAAATTTTGAGTTCCTAATTTTTTTCTTTGTTCTTCTTTTTTTTGGGGGGGACAGAGTCTTGCTGTGTTGCCCAGGCTGGAGTGCAGTGGTGCGATCTTGGCTCACTGCAACCTCTGCCTCCCAGGCTCAAGCAATTCTCCTGCCTCAGTCTCCCAAGTAGGTGGGACTACAGGCGCCCGCCACCAGGTCCAGCTAATTTTTGGTTTTGTTTTTTTCTGAGACAGCTCTGACACCTAGGCTGGAGTGAAGTGGCATGATCTCATCTCACTGCAACCTTTGCCTCCTGGGTTCAAGCGATTCTTGTGCCTCAGCCTCCTGAGTAGCTGGAACCACAGGTGTGCGCCACTATGCCTGGCTAATTTTTGTATTTTTAGTAGAGACAGGGTTTTTCCCATGTTGGCCAGGCTGGTTTAGAGCTCCTAGCCTCAAGTGATCCTCCTACCTTGACCTCCCAAAGTGCTGGGATTATAGGCGTGACCCACCGCACCCGGCCCTCTAATTTATTTCTTTTCTTTCTTTTTCTTTTTCTTTTTTTTTGAGACAGTCTCGCTCTGCCACCGAGGCTGGAGTGCAGTGGCACAATCTCGGCTCACTGCAAGCTTTGCCTCCCGGGTTCACACCATTCTCCAGCCTAAGCCTCCCGAGTAGCTGGGACTACAGGCACCTGCCACCACGCCCAGCTAATTTTTTGTATTTTTAGTAGGGACAGGGTTTCACTGTGTTAGCCAGGATGGTCTCGATCTCCTGACCTCATGATCCGCCTGCCTCGGCCTCCCAAAGTGCTGGGATTACAGGCATGAGCTACCGCACCTGGCCTCTAATTTCTTTCTTAAACACTTCAACTATCTATCCTTAGTAAAAGAGTGTGAATGAAGGTGTTTGGTGGCCAAAGGGAGCATGAAGTGTTTAAAGTAGAGAGGACGATACCAGCTCCAGTGTGGTGTATAGTTCATTTCAGGATAGAGTGAGAAATTGCTGCAGCCAGGGATAATTGTGCAAGGGTGTAGTGGCTGTAAGAGGCAGGCAGAGAGGCTTGTACTTGACATAGGTGACCAGAGTAAGATTTTGAAGACTTTTTTTTCATGAGACGGAGTTTCGCCCTTGTTGCCCAGGCTGGAGTGCAATGTCGTAATCTTGGCTCACTGCAACCTCTGCCTCTCCGGTTCAAGCAGTTCTCCTGTCTCCACCTCCCAAGTAGCTGGGATTACAGGCACGTGCCACCATGCCCAGCTAGTTTTTGTATTTTTAGTAGGAACAGGGTTTCATGAAATGTGTTAGCCAGGATGGTCTCGATCTCTGCCCTTGTGATCCCCCCGCCTCGGTCTCCCAAAGTGCTGGGATTACAGGCATGAGCCACTGCCCCCGGCCTGAAGACTTTTGAACAGTAAAGCAAATAGAAAGAGTATTATCAGATGAGCGTTAGACAGAAGCAATGCCTGGGATGGCTTGGAGAGCTTGGCATTAGGAAGGTAAGGAGAAGGCAGTTCTACTAGTTCACATTTCAAATAGGGGCAATCTGATGGGTGTTGGCAAATGACTAACACAAGAATGAAGTGGCATGATGAATCAAAGGTGACTTCTAAGTTTTTATCTTAGGTGAACCAAAGAATTTATTCCCTTGACCAGAAATAAGGCCCCTAACAGGGATAAATAATTTAGTAGGTGGAAGTGGATGAGTTTGGTTAGAATTGATGACTCTGAGGTTATCATGATATATCGATGTTCGAAACATGGGCCTAGGCCAGGCGCTGTGGTTCATGCCTGTAATTCCAGCACTTTGGGAGGCTGAGGCAGGAGGATTGCTTGAGTCCAGGAGATCAAGACCAGTCAGGGTAACACAGTAAGACCCTGTCTCTACAAAAATTAGCCAGACATTGTGGCACGCGCGTGTAGTCCCAGCTACTTGGGAAGCTGAGGTGGAAGGATTGCTTGCACCCAGGTGGTCCTAGACTTCTGGTGGGACTGGGAGTCAGAGTGTAGGGTAGAGTTGTTAACAGTGTGGGGTAGACCAGGACTTTTTGGACCAAGGATCAGAACACATGGAACCAAAAGTATGACATTGAGATCAACTCATTCTATTAGATACCTGTAGTAGGGGTTCATCTAGATGCCTTATAGGAGAATCAAGGATGCCCCAGGAAAGAAGAGTTAGTGAGAGACCAACAGAAGATTCTTTCCCTCAAGGATCAGGCAGAAGAGTACCTCCAGCAAAGGAGAAGTAAAAGGATCATGGACCAGCGAGAAGAACTAGACTTGTGTTGTATGGTAGACCTCATTGATGAGTCCCTGCCACACGCAAGACTGTGAAAGATTGTAGAGCGCAGGGTGGCCATGGGATAGAGGATCCTGAAGGATTTTATAGTTCAGAGGGGCAAACAGCCAGTTGTCAGTGGCTAAACGTAATACTTTGAAGAATTAAAAAATGCTGAACTGGACTTCAGACAACACAATGTGGAAATGCAGAAGCAATAGCAATTAATCCTAATGATGGAATGAGAGGACATACGATCCCAGAGACTAAGGGAAGGACATTTTTCAAAGGCAAGGGAAGTGGCTAACCATGGCATACGCAGCTGAACAACCTTTAGGAATGAAGTCCCTCAATTTGGGCAATAAGGGAGTCAGTGATGCTTGTCAAAAAGTAGTTTCAGTAAAATGCCAAGCTTAGAAGTCAATGGCAAGAAGTTAAATAGTGAGAGGGATGGTTCATTCATTCAGCTGTCAACCAAATGTTTATTGAGTCCTGTTCTGGACTGGAGGTAAGAGGTAAAGGAGAAACACCAGGGTGGCTAGAGGGGACAGCAGGATTTCCAAAGAAGGAGAACTCTGGCAGGTGATGGAAGCCTGCCAAGACAAGAGAGAGACAGAAGATGGTGAGGAAGAGAATGATCCAGACAAGAGATCAAATAGTGCTTCTTGGCTGGGCACGGTGGCTTATGCCTGTAATCCCAGCACTTTGGGAGGCCGAGGCAGGTGGATCACTTGAGGTCAGAGTTCAAGACTAGCCTGCCCAATATGGTGAAACCCTGTCTCTACTAAAAAAAAAAAAGAAAAAAAAATTAGACAGGTGTGGTGGCACACATCTGTAGTCCCAGCTACTTGGGAGGCTGAGGCAGGAGAATCGCTTGTGCCCAGGAGTTGGAGAGTTGGAGGTTGCAGTGAGCTGAGGTCATGCTAATGCTCTCCAGCCTGAGCAACAAGAGTGAGACTCCATCTCAAAAAAAAAAAAAAAAGAAAGAAAGAAAGAAAAAGATTAAAAAAGGGCTTCTTTAAAATGTAACCTTAAAATGGTCAAATTAGCCAATAGGTTAGACCTAGACAAAAGGCAGCTTTTTTTTTTGTTTTTTTGGTCTTATATGTGGGGAATTAGCCCCATCATGCGAAGGGGGTTCAGTTCCTCTTTCCATTGGTGAGAACCTCTTTCCGAAAGTGAGACCGTGTAGCGGAGCAGCTCAGGTGTACTTTACTTTTCAGCCACTCGGGGGAGACCTTCTACCACAAACCCGCTGCCGGACAGGGCTTACGAAGTTTATTTCCAGGCAGTTAAAAATCTGTTATATTCCACTTTCTATCTTAAAAATGTGAAAAGTACATGGTTTTCTGTTCACTCCATAAATGACTGTGCCACTCTTGCATTTCCTTCTGTTCCTAATGTCAAAGAATGTAAAAAAAAATCCCTTTACATTAATTCACTGAATAATCATTTAGGTACTGCCCCAGACTTCTGTGTAGTGCTTTACAGCTTTCACAGCGCATTTATGTGCAGTGACTTACTTGGTGGTGGTGGTGGTGGTGGGGGGGTGATAATTATAATATCACTGTCTCATTTCACATAGCAAGGATATTAGGGCTTTGCCTGCATTCAGGATTCTTGGTTCCATGTACTTTCATTAATATCACACTTAAGAAATTCCCCCCAAAGTTCTGCCTTTATTTTTAGAAGCCATTTTCCTTGTTCAGGAATGATACGGGATGGGGCAGGTCCCCTGGTACTGGTACCAAAAGGAGGAAGCCTCTGTTCTCTACCTCCTACTGTAGGCTGGTCCGGTTCTCCTCACTGTGACCTAGCATGAGAACAGTAGGTGGATGTGACCGTGACAAGGAGAGTGAAGAGTGATGCTTGGAGGGCTTGGTGTGCCTCCTCTAGATCTGTCTGGATGAAAACAGGATCAAAGAAAACAACTGTCAACCATGGAACTGCCCTGTGATCCAGCACGTTACTCACCCTTGCAGCCTACAGCAGTTTGGGGCAGAGCAGCAGTGGGATCAGCCCTCAAGGGCACATGCCAAGGGCAGAGCAGCCCGTGTAGACAGCTTCGGAGGGCATGGGGGTTTAGGGAGTTAGGGGTAGCTCCTCATTTCAGCAAAGCAGAAAGTGATGTAGGAAATCAGAGAGGGCACACTGACAGTCCCCAGGCCTCATTTGGCATGTGAGTCAACATCAGAATGCAGACGTGCATTTTTGACTTAAAGTTTTATTTATTCTTATTTTGTTATTTTTTTTTTTTTTGGAGATAGAGTCTCGCTCTGTCACCCAGGTGGGAGTAGAGTGACGCGATCATGGTTCACTGCAACCTCTATCCCCCAGGCTCAAGTGATCCCCCCAGTTCAGCCTCCGGTAGCTGGGACAGCAGGCACAGGCCACCACACGCAGCTAATTATTTTTTGTCTCGTTATGTTGCCCAGGCTGGTTTCAAACTCCTGGGCTCAAGTGATCCTCCTGACTCAGCCTTCTGAAGTGCTGAGATTACAGGTGTGAGCCACTGCAACAGAGTTTCAAAATTAGTTTCCAGCACTGAAAAATCAGGAGATAGCACACACAGACACACGGTGTTTTTTTTTGTTTTTTTTTTTTAAACCTCTTTGAAAGCAGCAGTAGTGTATTATTTTCTCATGGAATTGAGCTGATGAGGCGTGGGCTCCCTAACTTCCCTCTCTTTTCACAACCACCAGTTTTATTTATTATTGCTAATTTTCTGGCCTCCATAGGCAACTGAGTTTGGACCATCTGATTGAAGCCATTCTCCTTGGCTTCCATTCTCTCATTCTTGACTCCAAGAAGATATGCAGTTAACCTGTGGATGTCCATTATTAGCAGTTTCTTTGTAGCTGTATTTACCTTATGATATTAAGCAGAACTATTTTCTGAATGATCATTTCTATATACCTGTGGATGTCCATTATTAGCAGTTTCTTTGTAGCTGTATTTACCTTATGATATTAAGCAGAACTATTTTCTGAATGATCATTTCTATATAAACAGGGAAACACAAAACCTAGGGGACTAGTTGGCCAGGTTCACCTAGATGTGTACACACATTCTCTGGAGCAACCGCGAGAGTGCTAGTTAAGCATGCCCTTACATTTAGGGATTCTCAGCGGAGGGAGACCAAGTCATGCCTTGTATGGAAAGTTCTTTCTTCTGTTGTGTCCAAATTTGCTTCCCAGTCTCAGCCATTTTGTAGTCCTTAGTCTGCCTTTTGAAATGGTAAACTAATCTTAAAACGAGAGTTTGTGGGAGCCAGAAAGAACTTTGGAATATCTGCCTTCGCATTCTCAGTGGGCAGGTGCCCTGACACTTAGTAACATGGTTGTGCTTACCTTATATCCTCAAAGTTCTGACTTATGTTCACTGGACAGCTTTTTCCTTTGGTTGAACCTCCTCATTGTATTTCAGTATGTACATAAAAGGGAGTCTTTTAGGCTAAATTCTGTTTCTTTTTTATTGGCATTAGGATTATGTATATCACGTAGTGAGTGCGATCTGTGAATGGACAGTGGCCTTTGGTTTTATTTTCTACTTCCTAACTTTCATCCAAGATTTCCAGGTAAGTGTTTATCAATTCAAATGTTTTAAATTGCTGACAATTAGGATTTGTACAAATTTGCAGAAGACATTTTGCATTTTTAAAAAGAGCACTTTCTTTTTAATGTGTTTGACAAAAATATGTAAGGATTGTGCAACTTCATGTATTAGCTTCTTCCCAATGGGAAGCATCTTTAATAGCTCTCCCACCAATGAGATTTTCATATGTCCTCTGCTGTTTGATGTTAATAGTCATAAATCCTGCTTGTTTTCTTTTAGGAGGTCTCATTTACTAGTTCCAAATAATAGAAAGTAAATATATCTTTTTAAAAAATAAAAGTATGCCGGATGCGGTGGTTCATGTCTGTAATCCCAGCACTTTGGGAGGCTTAGGCAGGCGGATCACCTGAGGTCGGGAGTTCGAGAGCAGCCCGACCAACATGGAGAAACCCCATCTCTACCAAAAATACAAAATTAGCTGGGGGTGGTGGCACATGAGGAGGCTGAGGCAGGAGAATCACCTGAACCCGGGAGGCGGAGGTTGCGGTGAGCTGAGATCATACCATTGCACTCCAGCCTGGGCAACAAGAGCGAGACTCTGTCTCAAAATAAATAAATAAATGAATAAATAAAAAATAAAAGTGTTCTTCAAAAAATATTCCCAAAGCAGATAGAAGATGGGACTACATCAGATTTGTCCACAGGAAAAATCTTACATTTTGAGACAAGTGAATTATTAGCTCAAAGGATATAGATAGCCAAGAAAATTGTTTAGGACCTGACTCAAGGATAGCACAAACCATAGTGAGATCATTCCTTAGGTGGTGCAAAGCTGTTGGAAATGTCATCGTCAACGCTGGGATTATTTAACTTCTTTTAAACCTTTTTCTTTCATTTTTTAAAATAGAGTGTCACCCTAAGGATATCCACAGAAATCAATGGTGATCTTTGAAGAAAGAAGAATTTGATCTCACTCAGTGAATGTTGCAGGACATTTCTAGAAGTGCTACAGAGGACAGACAGGGTTTTGAGGCCGCCCTGATTATTGGGATGCATCTGCAGCACATCCAGGACTTGAATTTCGTTAAGAGTTCCTAATAGTTGTACTATTTCTAAAGATGTGTTTCCTAGAGAATGTACAGCCTTACGACACTGTAGTGATGTTTTTATAATTTTCTAAGTAGATTTTTTTATATTAACAAATTCATATACAGAAAAAATAAGGTGTTACAAAAAAATGGAGAGCTCTTATTTTTGTACAGATTCTGTCGTTTTTTTTAATTTGTGTGCGATTTATGGAAATACATTAAATGAGTAATTTAGGTTCAGTACATTTGTTACAAAGTGAAATCGGGATATTCATTTGTAAATTTTATTCTTAATGAATGAACTGTATAATTTTTTTATCATAAGAGCATTTATAAAATTCAATTTATAAAGATCATATACCCAAATCATAAAAATTTAGTTAATACATTAACACTAAGATACTGATTTTTAGCCGAACTAAGCAAAGTGCTTCAACTGAGAGGCCTTTATACCACCATGTACAGTAACTCTAAGTGAATATGGAAGACCTTGGTTTTGAAATTCTGCCACCCACCTTGTTTCTCCCTGCTCATGAGGCCACACCTTTTGCTCTCGCTGCTAACTGGCCATTTGTAGTGAGTGTAATTACAGGTGGAATGGTTTCAGTAAGTCAGGTGAAAGCCACCCTTTATTGTTTTGGGCACAACTTGATATGTAGTCTGACTCAGAACTGAAACTCACATCTCAAATTCATTTCATGCCAGTAAATGTGGCAAAGAGAACAAAGGCCCAAGAGCGAGACAAGGAGAAAGGAGAAAGGGGCAGCCAAGAACTTCTGGGTGAGGGTGCTATTTATATGCTCCTCCTTTTCATGCCTGTGACTGGATGTCCCTCAACACTATAGGAAATATGAGTCAAGCCCATTGTATTAAGCAAGAACTACAGACTCCGTCTTTTCACCCAAATCATGAATGGCCAATAAAAAGCAAGTTATTCCAGAGGAGGAAGCAGCCCTTGAAATGTTACGGCTTAGGCCTGAAAGGTGAAGAGCAGGAATTCTGTCTTTCAAAGACCCTAGAGCATAAACCCATGTGTGGCCAAGTGGGATCAGCCCTCAAGGGCACATGCCAAGGGCAGAGCAGCCCATGTAGACAGCTTCAGAGGGCATGGGGGTGTAGGAGTTGGGGGTAGCTCCTCATTAACTATTTGTTGGGTGAGTATGGGGGGGAGGCTTAGTGGCAGTCAGGTACCTCTGCAATGGCAAGCTGTCTCCCCTCTACGTGTTTAGCATATGTTGTTAGAACACGTCCCGCACCCCTACCACTGCCATGTAGGCCCTTTAATAAGGCTGAGTAGAGAAATCTGGCAATGAAAGGCAAACGTAAGGATGCTTTCTTTAAGATGCACCATAAATGGTTTTCTTTAAGTGAATGGAAGAGTTTGACAGAGAAACACCTTTGTAAGCAAACATTAAGAATGCTGGCTGGGTGTGGTGGCTCACACCTGTAATCCCAGCACTTAGGGAGGCCCAGGCAAGAGGATTGCTTGAGCCTGGGACTTTGAGTCCAGACTGGGAAACGTGGCAAAATCCCTACAACAAAAATACAAAAATTAGCCAGGTGTGGTGGCATGTGCCTGGAGTCCCAGTTACTTGGGAGGCTGAGGTGGGAGGATCACCTGAGCCCAGGAGGTTGAGGCTGCAGTGAGCCATGTCAGTGCACTCCAGTCTGGGCAACAGAGCAAGACCCTGTCTCAAATAAATAAATAAATAAATAGAATGCTAATCATTTCTGGGTTCACTGTGACTTGTTGTAATGCTGGGGATCCCCTTTGTAACACTGGAACTGAAAGACAGTGACGAACGCTATGTCAAGCATTCATTATTCTGAAGAGGAATAGAAATGCCACATACCTTTCCCATGGGACCTGTGGTGGAATGAATCCATGGTTCTGCCTCACTTCGAGCAGACTTTTGTTCTCAGTACTCCTCACGATGGATATTCATGCTTCATTTTCACATCTCTCTGCACAATTAGATTGGGAGCTCCTTGAGGGCAGAGTGTGCCTTGATCTTTATCTTTGTAATGCCACAATGAACACAGTGCCTCCTGGTACACTGTAGGTGCTTACGAAATACTCACTGAATGCATGCATGCATGAACGAATGAATGAATGAATGAAGGAAGGAATGACTAAGGATGTTTGTAGTGCTATAATATAGAATGGGATTTACTCTGCTTTACTAGTTAGTTTCTTAATAAACAAATAGTCTGCATCGCCTGGTAATGTTGACTGTTTTTCTTTGTGTACTGTAAACATTTCAGTTGTTTGGACATCCCCATTCTATGACAACTATCTTCAACCTGGACAGTTACCACAGACATTGCTACATGAGCTAGACCAAATGTACACCTGTCTTGGCAAACTGAGAAGGCAAACTGAGAAGGCCAGAAAATCACTCCAGACAACCATATTCAGCAGATTCCATGTGACCTCTAAACCTGGTCTTATTCACATTTTGGTATTATTTCTAATTTCCATGAACTTGCATTTCCTTGGACCTCATGGCTGAAAGAGTTAAATGAAATGAAATATTTCTTTATTTTAATTTTTTTTTTTTTTTTTTTTTTTTTTTGAGTCTCGTCCTGTTGCCCAGGTTGGAGTGCAGTGGCGCAATCTAGGCTCACTGCAGCCTCCGCCTCCCGGGTTCAAGCCATTCTCTTGCCTCAGCCTCTCGAGTAGCTGGGACTACAGGCGTCTGCCACCACGCCCGGCTAATTTTTTGTATTTTAGTAGAGACGGGGTTTCACCGTGTTAGCCAGGATGGTCTTGATCTCCTGATCTCATGATCCGCCCGCCTCGGCCTCCCAAAGTGCTGGGACTACAGATCCATTTGGACTTCATAAAGGTATGATTACGATTTAAACCTTATGCTTTCTTAAGTCATGTAGTTTTCCATGTGGGCACGATTGGTTCATCTTCGTAGATTCTCAAACGTTAGCATCAGAAGTTTATGTCAGTCAAGATTGAGAGATGAAGAGATCAGAAATCCAACAAGAAGGAGAAAAGGGAATCAGAAATCCAACAAGAAGAGGAAAAGGGAATCTATATTGCCTCAAGTAACTGAGACATTCAGGAGTGGAACTGGCTTTATGGGTGGCTGGATCTAAATGTGCCATTAGGACTCCATCTTCTCTTTCCTCCTCTCAGCTGGCTTCATTCTCAAGCAGGCTTTCCCCTGGTGGAAGTGAGAGGGCATCTACAACCCCCAGACACACATCATCCAGAAAAAGAGGGGGAAAGAAAGGACTTCTCAACAGTTCCAACCACATGCCCATGACTTGTCTCTGATTGGCTGGCTTAGATCACATGCCATTGGGAGGTCTGAGGCTCTGATTGGTGAGATATGAATCACATGTTCACCCCTGGAGCAGGGAGGGGTCAACACCACCAAAACTAGCGGGCTGATGGTGAGTGAAAGTCGTTTCTCAGAAGAAAGGGGTGGAAATGGGTCTCTAACAGACAAAAAGCAGATTCCACTGTGGAATTAAAACCCCTTTTCCCTTCATACCCTCCCCGCCCAAAAGCCAACCTAACTCGCTTCACAGTAAACCAAAGTATACTTGCTAATAACCTTTTCAAATTTGAAAGTAAATAAGCCATTTAGATAATACAAAAACCTTATGTTAACTCCAAAGTTATGTTTATATTTTTTAAAAGTTGTTTTATTATTTAGTCTCTCTTACTTAGAATCAGTTTTCCTGATTTCTAATCAAGTGGGTCTTTTTTTTTTTTTTTTTTAACACTAACACAGAGGATTCCACAGAAATTGCATTTTATAAACCAAATTAAGTGCATCAGTGTTGTGCTGTGTTTGGGTTTCCTAACATCCCTTACATGTGGCATTGTCCCATGTTCCCATTTTTACTCAGTTGGAGACATACTAGTCTGGTGTTTGGGCCTGGAATGAGGAAAGGGCAGTGGGAGGAAGATAAGTGGTATCCCATTCTCTCCCACTGCCTGATTCTGGCAAGCCAGTAAGCCCAGCCGTCTCCCCACACACATACTCTTGGTCTGGCTCTGAATGCCCCACATTCTCCAGTCCAGAATGTCATGCATCTGCATCATGTCTGTTGCACAAGAGAGCAACCACAGCCTCAAGCCCTGGAGTGGAATTTTCTGACTCTCCTTGGTCACTCCCAGCAGATTCATCTTCTATTCTTTTCTTTTTTTTTTTTTTTAGATGGAGTCCCGCTCTTGTCGCCCAGGCTGGAGTGCAATGGCGTGATCTCGGCTCGCAGCAACCTTCGCTTCCTGGGTTCAAGCGATTCTCCTGCCTCAGCCTCCCAAGTAGCTGGAATTACAGGCGCATGCCACCACACCCAGCTAAGTTTTGTATTTGTAGTAGAGACGGGGTTTCACCATGTTGGCCAGGCTGGTCTCGAACTCCCGACCCCAGATGATCCACCCACCTCGGTTCCCCAAAGTGCTAGGATTACAGGCGTGAGCCACTGTGCCTGGCCCCAGATTCATCTTCTAAAATGAAGGGTAGCAGGTTTCCAGACCCATATTGGAGTTGGCAGTGACCGCCAAAGTCCATGCTTGGAAAATACTGAAGAAGATGTCAATAGTCTGTCTTGTGGTTTAAGACAAGGTGGTGTAGGGTGCCCAGAAAGCCTGAGGTTTAGGTAGTTCCTCAGCAACAAGCACTGCTCTGTGCCCCACCATCCTCAAGGCCAGTTCCACCTCTGGATGTCTCAGTTACATGAGTTGATAAAAGTCTCTAACTTCAATAAACTGGAGTTAGATTACAGATGATTAGACCTGTAAGAGTCCTGACTGATAACAGATACACAAGAGTTCCCCTAATATGAAAATACAGTAAACTACTATCATCTGGAGTCATTTTTATTTCATTTTTTTTTCTTTTGCAGTTTTCTTTTTTCAGTACAGACTTGCCTTCAGAGGAAAGATCATTTTTACATAAGTGGATTCAGCTGCCCCCACTCACAATCCTCACCCTGTGAACCATTTGTTTTTATTTCAAAAAATTTGAGTAATATTTTCACAATTCAAAACTCAAAACAATATGAAAAGGTATACTGTGAAAAGCCTTTTTGCTTTTCCCTACCTGCATTTACTCAATTAATTCACTCTCTCCTTGCAGATGTCCACTTCTTTTTTTTTTTTTTTTTTTGAGACGGAATCTTGCTCTGTCGCCCAGGCTGGAGTGCAGTGGCGGGATCTCAGCTCACTGCAAGCTCCGCCTCCCGGGTTTACGCCATTCTC